TACTAATCATGAAAAAGTTAAAACACATGAAATAACTCTGAAGTAACTAAAAATGATGAGGTTATATGAGAATAAATTTTCCTTAGCAACGTCTCGAAAAGATCGGTTAATGGGCTCTTAACTTAAATTGGCTTTTCTCAGAACCCATAGGAATGGGGGAGGGGGAGGGGAGTGGGAGGGGAAGGCGGAGGGAAGGGAAAGGGGAGGGGAAGGGGGAGTTATTTAGCTCCTAGTAGTAGTCTTATGAAACGCCTTTATAAAGCCTTTTCTCGCGGTAAATAACTGACTTATGTCGACCTGGCAAGATAGCTCGACGTCTTGCGGCCTTGCTCGCATTTATTAAATTTCTGGGGCTGTCAGGGTCACAGTCTCTTACGTATTCGAAATTGTTTCCGTGCCATCTGGTTTTGATCCAAATTATTTACCTTTTTTATGCATCTTATTTTCAGAAAGGAAAATCGCTGCAAGAATCTATCAAGAAAATTTCGGAAGATCTGACAAAACTGAGCGACGAAATCAACAGGACGCAACAACACTTGCTTAAAAATGTGAGTTTTGTGGGACCTATAAAGCAATTTTTTTTTTTTTTTTTTTTTTCAGTTCTTGATGTAAAATACGATTCGACGACTGGTATTTGGAATGTGCTCTAAGGAGAAAACAGTTGACTTACCGCTTGGGGTTCAAAATCAATAAAACCCTTGGCCACACTTAAAGGAGCTACGTCACGTTTTGCGCATCTTGAAAAGTTTAGCCTAAATTTTTCAAATTGGTCGTTTTTAATCCGTGTTCATCAATTTTCAATCTTGTGAATAATCTTTTCCATCATTGACTCGTCAGGCTAAAAATGTTCGCTTCCCAAAGCGACTAAAAGGCCAGCTAATGACGGAAAATGTAATTGTGAAAGATAGACTACAGTAGCCGAGCGTTTGGCAACAATCTCTCGATCAGATAATGAAAAGAAATTTACATCTCTAGAACACAAAAAGTGCATGTTTTTTTTTTTT